CACTTCCAGTCATTTTGTTCTCCTCTGTGCAGACCAATCCAGGCTTTATACTCCAACAGGAACAGACTGTTTGCATGTTCCTGGTTGTAGATGGTGGCCAAGTCCAAGTAGTTTCTACAAGGACAAACTGTAGTTATTTTGTTTGTCCCTTGTCTTTCAGCACACACCTGAACCTTTACCTCAGCTGCCGTGTTTGCTCTTGAATAAAATGTTCAAATGAATGAATGCTTTTAGATCATTTAAAGTGAAACAGCAAAACATTTAAGCTTAATAATGAGGCCTGGCACAATTTTTTTCTGGGCGATAAATTGTCCCAGAATTTATCGCAATAAATGATAATATTGTTGTTCTGAGACCATTTTCAAGTAATATAATGGTCATAATGACATAATAATGCAAGTGCACATTCTCAAATATCAGTGAACTTTAAATTCTAATGAACATTTAACACTGGAACTGGAAGACATTTTAAATATACAAAATAAATAAACAGTCCAACAAATAAAGTGAATTATGAAGTCTCTGTGAACAAAATATTCCTTCTGATTGAACCAAAACACCAAACTGAAGACTTTAGTCGTCCTGTTTTTGGTAGCAAGAGAGAAAATGATAAATCATGCAGATGGAAATTATTGAGCTCATCTTAATTTGTCATGCAATTAATTGATATATTGATTATTGCGGCAGGCCTAAACTGGATCAGTGGAAATGAAACTAAATGATAGCTAGTACATTTGTTAACTCTAATCCTTAACAGAGAATAAAACAACAGAAAACTTACTTTCTGCAGAACTTTTGCGCATCTTTCCAGGTGCGACCAAATTTCATATGTTTGTGTTTGACTGACAGAGCTGATCCGGGTTCAGCTGCCGTGCCGACGGCGCTGAGGAAGAGGAGGAAACGGAGGAAGGTCATCAGCGTAATGAGGATGCTCATCATGGTCAAACTTTGTTTTCTTCCTCAATGATTTAAAAACAGGCAGTCAAAAGAACACCAGCGCATTTGGTTGAAAAACCGTCTTGTATCTTTTCTCTGTGTTTGTGGGGTAGAGTTTCTCGTTGCCGTGGTTTAAGCTCACACCACAAAACCACCTTCAAACGCATTTACATAGGAGGCACAGATAAGTAGTTAACATTCATGCCGGTCTAAGAATATATTTGCCTGCAGGAAAATGAAGGCAGGATTTCCCTACAGCCTTTCAAACTGGAAGCTCATTGATTGTCCAGCAGCAAATTTCACTTCCAACAAATAGGTAATAAATCAGAGGTGAGCTCCAATGAAAGTAAATGACTCAAGAAAGAGTAAAAAAGTATTTGGTTAAAAGTTTACTCAAGTACAACTGATCAAATTATCAATCATTTCATATTTAAAAATTACATCATCGGACGAACCACAATAGAAAGTTAAGTTGAAATTTTGGTATTTTAAGGTCAAAATTGACAATAATTTAACAAAAAATAACAAAATCAGGCAAAATAAAAAAAATTCCAGATCAGTTTCTTTCAATAAAAACTTATTCAATTTTAATAAAAGCTGCAGGTGTGTGTTTGTGTCTGGTGATTTTTTTGTTTTTCATTCAGTGGGTAGAAAGAGTCACTCAAATAAGAGTACAAATACTTCATAATAAAATTATAAATACTCCTAAAAGTACATTTTTGCAAAAATTTACTCAAGCAAATGTAACTAGCTTCCCTAATGTTATTTTTCTGTTTTATTTCTCTCCCAAGCTAATAAATTATGTGCTTCTTTATCATATTTAAGACAAATGGAGCCAAATCACATTCCTGTAGTTCTCAGATTGATGGACCAAAAACAGTTCAGCAGTCCTGCAGCACCTTAAATAACGAGAGTTATTTGAGCTGAAACATCTTTACATCACAAAGAAAACATATTTATTGCTTAATGGATTGCAGAAGGTTTGTCCAATGAATCTAATTCTAATACTTTAAGGAAAATAAGGTCAAAGATGTTTTAGTTTTGGATATGGATAATATCTGAACTGACACAAACAAAAGGAGAGCTGCAGCAGGTTAAACGCTGGAGGAGAAGTAAATGAAGTTACTGAGATTGAATTTGGTGTTTCTGCTGTTTAATGTCTCGTCCCTCCCTGTGTTTAGCAGAGCTGGCTGCATGTCAGGCATGAATGTTTCTCAGATGTGTCACAGGTTTGTTATTAGTGAGTGATGGAAACCGGATGGCTGTCGAGGGGAGGCGAGGCTCACAAACTCATTTTTCTTTTGCCTATCTCAGAAACCGTTCTGACAAACATTTGGTTTCACTGAGGGGGAAAAAGCAGAACTCCATAAAACGCAAAGCAGGAACATCAGGGACAAGATGAAGTCTTTAAAACAAATATTGCTTTCCGAAACAATCCTGAGGTTAATTTCCCAAGATGGTTCTGCTTCAAAGACAAACACGCTTCTAAATCAGGCAGTTATGTAAAAAAGTTTTCAAAGTTAAAGACCACATTCCAAGATTTTTTGTTTTCAGTGAGAGACTTGTACCCCAAAAAGCTTGAGGTTTAATATAATCTTTAAATGTTATAGATGTCAGAGGTCGAGTAGGCATTCTTTATAGTTAAATTCAAAAATTATACTCAAGTAAGCAGAACTATTTTAACATACTTTTCCTCAACTTAAAGAGTATCCATCTAAGAAATTACTCAAGTAAAAGTAAAATTCAAGTCATAAAATCTGATTTGATATTTTAAACTGATGTCATCAAACTGTGAAGTTTTGTGCTTTATAGTTTATGTGCTAAACTTTACATAAAATTAATGCTTATTGAAAACAACATTAAACAACAAAACTGACGCAACAGAACAAGAAGTTTCACTTTAGCATAAACTGCAGCTCTTTGTGTTTCGTACCGTTTTGGTAAAATATGTTTGTTCTTTCTTCAAGGAACCCACCTGTATTAGAGAATCCAGTCAAGTAAGAGTAGCAACAGTTCTTAGTACTCAAGTAGAAGTAAAAAGTACTCCTGAAAGTTTTTCCAAAACATAACTAGTTTCTACGCATTTATAGTTAAATTAAATTTAGGAAAGGAGGAGAACAGTAAACCTGATGAACCATAAAATTTGGCCCTTGACCTTTCCATCTGCCTCTCCAGTGACAGAGTGAGGTGAAGCTGAAAGAAAATACCACTTGTTTATCCAAGTGGTTTGAGTTTGATGAAGACTGACTGACCGACTGCGTATCCAGTGAAACCAGTAAAGCTGCTTTGTTTTCCCCAAACCTCCACCAGACACACATATACATCGGTCCTGAGGTTTTCTGTAACAATTCCTAAGATTTATTATGTGGAAAGCTTGACCCTGTGAACTCGTCATTTCTTCTTCTACTGTATCGCCGTAGTGACTGAGAAAGTGGAAAAATAGTAATTCATCAAGTTGGTGAAAAAAATAAGAAAACACATAAATTACTTTGGCAGGGGCAGAGTGGCTTTTATTATTTTATTAATGGCAATGCAAGTGTTGTAAAAAGCAGCACTGACATATTTTCCACTTTTTAAGCCACTTTAAAGCTTCCCCCGCCCCCAGCCCCACGCTCCCCCTTTAACAACAGCCCATCAATCAATCTCTGCTCTGAAACAACGACTTACTCCGGAAACACGACTTTTTTTCTCTTCCAGATATTTCACTTCTCTCGGATTAGCTGCTCTGTGCCTCTTCTTGACGTCACTCACCTTGAATCCATTCCCTCATCTTTCTGGATCACATCGGCAGAGGCTGCTATCTCGCATGAGACGCCGTCTTTATGGCACAGCTGGCAGCACTTAGCGCAGTCAGAGTCTCTGGACTGAGAGCCGGAGCCAACAGCCGAGCCGAAACATTAAGACAAACTCAGATGGGTTTCCTTAAACTGGTAAACTTTTAAGGATTGCAGTTTGTTTTGAACTTTAAAGGAACCGTAAAAAGCAAGGTGTTCCTGTGCAGATAGTTCCACATTAAACCAGCACAAATTCAAAGAAAGCAGTCAGAAAGGTTCAAGGTGGTCTGAACTGAGACTTTTTACGAAAATCATTAAAACTCTAAAGGATTCTGGGTTACAGCGTTAGCTTCTATCAGGAAAGAAAATGTCCACAACTGGGAAAATAAAAGTACAGCTCCTATAGGATTAGACAGAAAGTTTGGTTTAAATGCAATACATGAAGAATCTCTTTAAAAGCAGCAGGTTGCTGCTCTGAAGCATGCACCTGTCTGCTAACAAGAAGCTAAAATCAAATGACCTTTGAGAATAACTGCTGCTGCCCATCAATCTGGGAAAGGCCATAAAATGTTTCCAAACTTTTTGTTCCATGATATTCTGCATAGGATTATTCACCTGCAGGAGACATTTGAACGGGGACTGTTACGTAAAATTGACTTTTTCTTAGCTTTATACAGTGTTGCAATGTTATTCACTCATCAAAAACATCTTGTTTTGATTCTTTCATGCAACAATTAGCAATCACCTGGAGCTGAGCATCTGATGAGTTCATCATATGAGATACTTCTCAGTCCAATGCTGCTAAAAATGGTTGTAAACAGCATGATGAAGGAGCGTCTTAAAGAGACAGAGGCCAAATTTCAAGCCATCAAACTGCAAAATCAAATTTCTTTTAAGTCACATCTGATATATACAGTATTTTTATAACAACTGAAAGCAACATAGCTACTTGGTTGTGCTATAAAATGGCACAATTGCTGGAAATACATAATACTGCCCCTTTAAGACAGCTGTTCCAGCAAATTTACTGCAAGGTTAAATAGTGCAATTTTCAATGAGATTACTAATAACCCAAAGCTCCATCTCAGACTCCTCAGGCCTCAGGTAGCAGGTATGTTAAAATTCATAATAGGACAATTAGAAAAGGATGAGTTTTTTGGAGGGGGGAGGGGATTGGAACTGTTGAAAGAGACTGCCTCTTTTCAGCTGATAGTTCCAATCAATAATGTCCGCTCAGACCTTCTTTTAGTGTTGTAGTTTGGCCGCCGTCCAGCAGAGGGCGCCGCTGGTCATCCTTTACCGGAGCCAGTTAGGAATAAAGATGGCGACGCGGCGCCATAACTTAACAGGAAAGAGAAACCCGAGAAACGGCCCAAACAGAGTCCGGTGAGGGATGAACGGTGCACTTTATGTGTTTCTGTTTAGAAATATAAACACCCGACAGGTTCCTTAAGTTTTCACCTTAATAGTTATTCAAACGAGCTGCATGACGGAGCAGCGTCAACTTCTCAATGAAAAACAACTGAGATGTGCTATGAAGACGGGAATGATCTGATGAGGTTATGGAGAAAAATTATTACATAATGGAAACAAACATGGCACCAATAAGCAAGATGGTTTAATCACTTTATGGAGCGAAGTTTTTAATTCCACAGACATTACTTCTGTATGAACGTCTCTGTAAGTGTCTCACTTATTTTATTCTTTTTATTTTTTTCCGTCTGCATACGAGCTTCCTGTTATATTTTATAAATATGTCTAAGTTTAACAATGTGAGAGCCACAATATTCTGTTTATTCAGTCAGTATTTAGTACAACTGATACAAAATAATGTTAAAATGCATTTATTTTTTAATTCAGCTTATTATGAAAAAATAAGCCCTTTATATTGAGAAAAGAAAAAACTCTTAAGAAAATGCCAATGTCAATTACTCGTTAGTTGATTGATCTTATCAATCAACTTTAGATTAACTCATTAATTGATAACTTGCATCCCTAATATCAATCCTAACACAGTGATTGAAAAAGGAAGGAATCAAGGCATTATAGTGGCTCAGTCAAAGTCCAGCCCTTGACCTGAGTGAAATCCTGTGGTGGATTGTGCAAAAACTGATGTCTGCAAATATTTCTCTACAATAATGTGACAAACTGAAAATACTAAATACTCCTGTAATGATTCCATAATCTGTTTAATCACACGTGTACTTTGTGGAGGGTTTTTTTCCCAGTCAAAGTTTTCGTTGCACTTTGATTCCCTGTCTTGCTGTTTCTGGTTGCTTTGTTGAGCTTGGTGATCTGTCTACCACAGTCAGCCTGTTTCAACACTCGCCCTGTGTTGAAAGCTGTGGGAGTGTTGCGTAGCGACCGCTTTGTGAAGTGTTTGCGAGAGTTTCAGGCTCCTGCAGGATTTTGGGGGAGGGAACGTAAGAAATGTCTATGTGTATGCATGCGTGTGGAAATCAGTGTTGGCTGGAAGTGCCTGAGTGACCTCATGCACATCTGTGTGTGCTGATCAGCAGAGAGAGTTTTTACAGAAAAGGTTTCACTCATTTCTCTGAGTAGCAAGACTCGACTGGAAGCTGTTTAAAGGAATAAAATGATTAAGAGCAAAGCTAAACCCAGAGCCGGAGCGTCATTAGCTGTGTGACTCGGATCAGCTTGCCGCCTCCAGCAGCTGCTCCTGTTCTGAGTTGCCATATCTTATTCATAACCTGCAGAACAGTAACCGGATCCAACGCACCCATTAGACTTCCAGTGTTTTTTTCACACTGCAAAACACTCAAAATATTACCAAGTATTTCTAGTGCAAATATCTTAGTACACTTGAAATAAGAGAAAACTAACATAACTTTTTAGCAGGCAATAGGAGCTTTTTCTAAGTCAATAATCCCTTAACATTGTTGAAAAGTGCATTGTTGAAAACAACTGAAATAATCTGCCATTTACTTATAGCTTTGGAAAAATGTCTGTGTATAAGTGAAATAATCTGCCAATCGATGTTAAGGAATTATTGACTTAAAAGAAGTTCATATTTNCTGCTGAAAAGCTACATGTAAGTAAGTTTTCTCTTATTTNTAGTGTATATTTGCATGAGAAACTGGAACAAAATTATTTGGTAAGATTTTCTGCAGTGCAAGTTGCTGATGATGAGTTTTTTATATAAGTTGGAGTCTGTAAATAAGCAGTAAAGTTAGTTAATCAGATTATCAGTGGTGGAAAACAAAACTTTGGGATTATTTTGTGACTGTTAATTATTTTGGTAAAATATAAATTTCTTGAGTTTCGGACAGCAGAGTTGTATATGCTAAGCTGTTTGCGCATTGTTTGGTAGTCATTCAGTGATTTATAAACTAACAGTATTTTAAAGTCTATTCTCTCAGTGTAGGGACTTTAGAACTGGGTGCTGTGCTCCATCTTCCTGGTTTTAGTCAGAACTCCAGCAGCAGCGTTCTGGATCAACTGCAGCTGGAGGATTGATTTTTTTGTTGCAGTAATCAGTGTGACTAAAGATAAACGCATGGATGAGTTTCTCTAGATCTTTCTGTGACATTAGTCCTCTAATCCTGAAAATGTTCTTCAGGTGATAGAAGGTCGACTTTGTAACTGTCTTTATGTGGTTCTGATGGTTCAGTTTATCACCATAAAGTTGACATAACACCATTTTTAGTAAGAGGTGACTCAAAGGAAAATGGACAAATCCAAGTATTGACCAGTATGTCTCTCCTTAGGTCAGAGTTGCAATGATGCATAATATCAGTCATTTCATAAATCAATTGATTAGTTATATACAGCTCCCATTCGTAGCTTATATCATCTCAATGCACTTAATAAGAGAAACAGATCAAATTTATATTCAGAAGTGATCAAATTCATCCAATTATGCAGAAAGATTCAACTATATAAATTTCAACTGGATCAGGAAGTCTGACACATGCAATGTCTTTGCTGTTTCTTTATTGAAATATATAAATATGTAGGTTTATATTGCATTATAAACCTTTCTAACCTCAGCATCTATGTCACACCAGTCTTAGAATATAAAGATGTCTTGATTTCTTCAAGACAAACTCTGACGCAAAATACAGGACTTGTAAAGTTCTGCAGAAGACTGTAACGTGAAAAGCTCCTTATTTATGTATTTAATTCATGTTTTGAGCCATAATCAGTAACTGAACAGCTGGGTCTCTGTGCAGGGTCCTCCTGATTGTTTTTACTTCAACATATTTATAGGAGTGCAGAAAGGACTTCATAATAACCATAGCAGTCTACGATTTCATGCGCTTAGCCTCCATAAGTCCTTGGATGATATGAATCTGTGTAAAACTGGCCTGCAGGAAATAACAAGCAGGCTTGTTTCAGGAGCACATTTACATCACTCAGGGGTGTAGCAAAATAAAAAGTGTAAAGTTTATCCTCCTGCCTAACTAAGATCATAAATTTTGCATGTTGAAAAACATAAAATGCAAAATTTTTTGCAGATTTAGCAAACTGGTTCCAAAGTGCTTCCCAAATCCCAAAGTTATTCATAATTTTTTTAAGGTTTAGACTTAATGTTTTTATTAAACCAAGAAGTTTGTTTCCGATAGGAAATGAGATAAAATTATTTAAACACAGTATCAGTTTAGAAAAATGTTTTTTTGTTTATATTTTATTTGATAATTGTACGTTAAAACTTATTTATACCCCTCTCAATAATCTGGAGTTATAGCTGGCATATCATTGTTATTATTGCTTTGCTCCTGAGGTAAAAGTCTTTGCAGTTGGAAAGCCTCCTTGCCATCACCCTAATGTTTATCTGGCTCCACAGATTAAATGATTCAAGTTAAGAAGTTAATATTACTTCCAATACAGAAAACATGTTACTGATATTAAAACTTTGATTACCATCTTAAATGCATAAAACATTTGTAATCCATTTTATTCCAATGCTACATGAAATTAATAACCAGTAATATTTTACATTGTTTTATCTCCATCATTATTTGAGTAACATACTTCAGCAGCAAGGCAGTTTAAAGTGCTTTACGTGTCAAAAACATAACAAAATTAACCAAAAAATGGAGCTTTAGTTTTCTAAATGCACCATATTTTCCCTTAAATGTAAACTTAAAGAAAGATGTGGTGCTTTTTGCATTTCAGCAGCATATAAAGACATGCAGCTTTAGGTAAATAGTCCTTCCTCTGACACTGTAATCTAATCGGCATATTTTAGAAAATTCTGTGGCTTGAACAAAGCGACTCAGAGATGCAAAATATACAGTGAACATGGGAGTGTTATGAAATGCTGTGCTAAATTATACTGTACAAAAAATAAAACCCTTCATTTGGTTGCACCAAGTGATGCGATGGATTCAGTGACTTCCTTAAGCTTTTCAAACAGGAAGTGGCCCCTCCCTCACACCTGTACTGGAAAACTGCAACAATATCAAAACATTAGCATGCCTATCATACCAACACATACATTATGCAAAGTGAGAATCAATAAATGATACATATATTTCATACACATGAAAATAAATCATGTTTTACAAGAAAATGTGTTTTTACTTCACAGTAAAATCCATATAAAAGATGAGATTTTCCAGCTTTCGATACAGTTGAAACCAGGAGTTTACATGCTGGAGCTTTAAAGGTGACATTATGCTTCCTTGAACAGATTAGGATAGTCTAATATATAAAACATTTTTTGTACAAAATCCTTCTTAGATAATGAGATTTTAGTCTCAGTTCTGCCTTTTTTTCCATCTCTTTCAGGATGAGTTGAGTTAGGACGTCTTGTCATCCAAAGGAGCTGCTGCTGGCCAAATCCTCCTCCCCCCAACTCAGCGTTTACCCTCATGTATGTAAAGGATTCTTAATAAAATAGAGAAAGTTGTGGACAACCCTGACCGTGAGAAAACAGAGTAACTTCAGTTAGAGGTTTCTTCAGATTTGCTGTAATACACACTGCTACAGGAGATATTTCCTGCCAACAGCCATCATGATCTACAATGACTCTGAAAAATCTGAATTAATGTGTTACAACAACATTTAATTTCCTTTGGGATTAATAACGTATTTTTGAATTGAATTGAACAGAATTGAAAACCAGCTGGCCAAACATGCTGGAACTCAGCTTGGGTTGCTAGGTGACGGGGATGGGCTTGGCTGGGGTTGCTAGGTAACGGGGATGGCTTGGCTGGGGTTGCTAGATAATGGGGATGCGCTTGGCTGGGGTTGCTAGGTAACTGGGATGGGCTTGGCTTGGGTTGCTAGATAAAGGGGATGGGCTTGGCTTGGGTTGCTAGGTAACGGGGATGCGCTTGGCTGGGGTTGCTAAGTAACGGGGATGGCTTGGCTGGGGTTGCTAGGTAACAGCAGGGTGCTCGTTGAATGTGACTCAACAGCTGGAGGGTTTTTGAAACAACTAATTTTCCAGACACCAAAAACATGAACTTAATGTCAGAAAACAGCTCGGTGGGGTTTTTTAAGCACCTCGACTGTTTTAGAAGCAGTTGAAAATTGAATACAAGTATAAAAATGTTGTAAATGCTTCCTCTGTAACATTTGCTGTAAAAAGAAGTTATGCCTGTTTTGAACATAAACATCTAGGCAACAGGAAGTGGATACATTTCAGTGCTATTCGTTGCTAAATAGAAAAAAAATACTTTTTGTTTCAGTGCGTATGAAGAAAACAACTCCAGCAACACAGACACATCCCCCCTAATTACACTTCCCTCTGGAATTACAATGTACACATGCACAATATTGCCACAGATCCACTGTTATGATATCATCTTACTGCCCCTTTGGGAGAGTCACATGACCTCTGCCCAGAGGAGGGGTCGGGCGGGGGGGTCAGACTGTTTCAATGAAAACCACATGGAGGGAGGAGAGAGCTGTGACTAAGTGGAGAGGGAGAACCCAACATGAGCAACACGGCAGAAAAGGGGGGAACGGAGAGCAGCAGCAGGGACGGGTTGAGGCTCAGGAACCAGGACCAGAACCGGGACCACGGACCAGAACCAGCCAACATGTCAGAGTCCATCAAGAGGAGAAACTCCAGCAAGCAGCTCCTGCAGAACCTCATCAGGTGAGACGCAACACCACTCTGGGTCATCACCTGCAGGATGAAGCAACAAGAAAATACACATTATGGATCCATTTCATTATTATTCACTCAGGAAAAGATCAGCAGTCTGTAAAAACTGTAAGAATTTAACCAGCTAAGAAAGGAAATGTGCAAAGTTTTACCAAAGTAAAACATAAATGACCCAAAAATGTAGAAATACGTAGAAAACTGAACTCTGAAGTTGAAGCTGATTAAATGTTTAAATATTAGGTTTTAAAAATGTTCATGTAAATTTAGATTAACTCTATAATAAGTAATCAATGTTTTGTTTGTACAGATTTATTCAATAAATTAGAATATTACTGGAAACTTTCACTAAGTGATATCGATTGTATAGATGGATGTTTGAAAGTCTTTGTTTCTAATTATGATAATTTTCCACTTGCACCTCATGAAAAATCAAAATATTACATCAAACCAATAAAAACATTTAAGACAGAAATGTTGGGAAAAGTATATTTAATATCTGCTTTTCCAATGTCATTTTCAAAAGATACTTTTAATCTGACAAGCAGACCTCATCAGAAAGCGAATTTTAATTTATTGATTATGACAGCATCATTCTCAGATAAAATAACATTTCGTGTTTCACAAAACACAAACGAAAAACACAAAATAACAGGATAACTAAATATTTTTTTTAAATGAACATATGAGTAAAGTAAATTTTACTTCTACTTTTTTCTGAGATTAGTTTTTTACTATAAAAATGAGGGGAGAACATTTGAACATGTTTCCCATTTGCCTTGTATTAGAAACACGTGTTAATTGCAATGAAAAACAACAACACTGCTAACTAACACCTGTTTTTTAAACGGCTTCACCTTCAGTGTAAATAAGAGACATGAAGGTTTCTAGTCTGTTCTGCTGAACTCGGCGCTGATTCACTGAAATACACCATTTACCTTCATAAAGTAAAGGAAATATAGAAGCTACATTTTTTTTTTCCTCCTAGAAAAGGTTTGGATCAACATCTACAGATGTAAACTAGATTTTTGTTGCTTAAATCTCGAATCTACGACATTAGATATGTAAAACAATGATTTTGATAGTTGTACGTAAAAAAGACGAATTCTTATTTGTTTATTCTCTGGTTAATTGTGAATTTGCAGCTGCCTCAGTGTGCAATAAAACCTGGATCTATAAGAATAGATCCAGGTTTCTGGATCTATCCAGGATAAACCTGGATCTATAAGAATAGATCCAGGTTTCTGGATCTATCCAGGGTAAACCTGGATCTATAAGAATAGATCCAGGTTTTATTGCACACTGAGGCAGCTTTTTTTCCCATGATGCTTTAGGGTGCAGTACCAATGATGAACACCAGGGTGTTTATAATTGCCCTGGGTGTAGTAGCTGGTACACACTGTTCAGTTTTAAGGCTCATAAAGGACCTTATAAACATCAGAGTTGGTATTTTAGTGAGTATCAGCTGGGTATTAAAGCAAAAAGTACTATTTGACAACAGACAATAATCATTAAATTAAAAAGTCAGTAAATTGTAGACGGATCCGAGTCGAGTTCAGTTCCAGTGGGTGAGTCGGCTAGCGGGGAGAACTTGATCTGCATTTTTATTGGATTGTTGCGAAATCTGTATAGAACCTTTATTAGCTGTAACGACGGACGCCACGGCTTTAGCGACGGACGCCACGGCTTTAGCGACGGACACCTTTAGCAACGGACTCCACGGCTTTAGCGACGGACGCCACGGCTTTAGCGACGGACGCCACGGCTTTAGCGACGGACACCTTTAGCGACGGACACCTTTAGCGACGGACACCTTTAGCGACGGACACCTTTAGCGACGGACGCCACGG